TATTGTCAATGTCCACTCAGAGGGAACCTATTTTGTCTTTGAATGTTATATGGAGCGTATTATCCCTGGGGGGGGGGGGGGGGGGGGGGCGGTCGGGTAGCCTAGTGGTTAAAGCGCTCGCTCGTCACGCCAAAGACCCGGGTTCAATTCCCGACATGGGTACAATGTGTGAAGCCCATCTGTGGTGTCCCCCGCCGTGATATTGCTGGAATATTGCTAAAAGCGGCGTAAAACCATACTCACTCACTCACTCATCCCTGGGAGCAGTATGTAGTTATGATGCACGACATGAAACACCCCTTAGACAATAGCCTTCTACAATAATCAGGAAGTCTTATCCATCTCTGCAGGATGCTTATATATTAAATAACCAAATACAATTCTTCCTTCAACATTTTGGACAGAATGCCTGTAAAATAACTCACCCTTTGGTTTGGTTTGGTTTGTTGTTTAACGCCGCACTCAGCAATATTCCAGCTATGTGACGGCGGTCTGTAAATAATCGAGTCTGGACCAGACAATCCAGTGATTGACAACATGAGCATCGATCCACGCAATTGGGACCGATGACATGCATCAACCAAGTCACCGAGCCTGACCACCCGATCCCGTTAGTCGCCTTTTACGACAAGCATAGTCGCCTTTTACGGCAAGCATGGGTTGCTGAAGACTTATTCTAACCCGGATCTTCACGGGCCAACTCACCCTTTGAATCCTGACCCTTTGTATCTTACATCAGGAAATGTTATACTGAGTTAAGTTCGAAATAACAAGATTTCACATTTTAAGGATATTCATTAAAGTAAGAGTCATATGTTTTTCACTCTGATCTTAATTTGTAATTGATCAAAACGTAGTACAAGTACTCAAGATAGGTCCAACCCTGGTTTCCTAACTTATCAGCCGTATGACCAAAGTGTTAATACTTACGTAAACTTGACTTCCAAAGGAATAATCGTTTATTCAAGAATGTCCGTCGCTGCCCGGTTTCATGTTTTCTTGGATGTGTTTCTTTCAGAACTGTCGCCCAACGCACGTCGATCAATCCCGCCGAGCGCCGCCGGTACAGTAGCATATACGAGACCACCCATTTCGCTTCAGCGTCATATTGCGATGAATGTGTTATCAAGACATGGGATCTTTGTTATCATGATGAATATATTCTCAGATATTACCGATAGTTTAATTTGGCAGAAATACCAATAAATATTGTTCGAAGTCATATTTTTTAAAATATGTTCTAACGCCACGGAACAAGATATTTCGGGAAATGCAATTGCTCTCAAACTGCATTGAGACAAGCATTGAGACAAGCATTGAGACAAGCATTGAGACAAGCAGTACTTATTTGGACTTGTTTATAAAGCGTACATGACAAATTCATTACTTTCTGATGATGATATGTAACCATGGTAACAACTTCCTGTCCCAAGCCTCAGACGTCACGATGTGCATTGTTACGTGATCCCCTTTGGTGCGCACAAACTAAGCTAATGCGGTCTGCCCCTAGCTGTTGTATTGCCAACATGTATTGCCATTCCAGTGCCTGACATGGTCTCATTGTCATTCCAGTGTCTGACAGATTCTTACTCCAAAGTAAATTTAAAAGTCTTTTGTGGACAACCTTATCAAAATTTGCCACGCAATATTCACTATTGTCGATGGTACCAACAACTTGAAAATATCATTTATAAATTAATTCTGACAAGAGTCTTTCAAACATCATCAATTTGTCGTCATGTATGTCCTTATCCTCTTGTTACAGCATCCTCGGTAGTCCAGAGTATCATATTTCCATTTTAATTAGGATAAATACCCTGGAGCCATACGCCGGCAAGCTTTTCGAAAGTGATATGAAGTTTTCCATCTATCTGTTCACAGGATTGATTGGACGACATGACTCAAAACGAGGCTATGGCAGCGAATTGGTCAAGGGAATGTATTATAATAGAATGGAGATATAATACACAAGATATGATATTGCAGGTCGCAACTGATTACAACTAACGCCTAGCAAAATCCATGATACAATAATATTCATCACTTATTGGAATCTCTGTTAGAATTGTTGCACCGACATAGACATAATTATACGAAATAATCTTGTCAAGTTCCCACGAAAGGTATGATGTAATCAATTGCGACCATTGTATAAATAATGAACATTGCGTAGAAAAAGGTAGTGACAGCAAGAGCGCTTGGTACACCATGTCTTCTATCGTTCATAAACGTAGAAATATATGTTTCGTGATTTGAAACATCTGCATCAGTAGAATCGCCTGATTGGCATACATCAGTAGCATCTCGTCATTGGCATACATCAGTAGCATCTCCTGATTGGCATACATCAGCAGCATCTCCTCATTGGCATACATCCGTAGCATCTATTCATTGGCATACATCCGTAGCATTTCCTCATTGGCATACATCCGTAGCATCTCCTGATTGGCATACATCAGCAGCATCTCCTCATTGGCATACATCAGTAGCATCTCCTGATTGGCATACATCCGTAGCATTTCCTCATTGGCATACATCAGCAGCATCTCCTCATTGGCATACATCAGTAGCATCTCCTCATTGGCATACATCAGTAGCATCTCCTGATTGGCATACATCCGTAGCATTTCCTCATTGGCATACATCAGCAGCATCTCCTCATTGGCATACAACAGTAGCATCTCCTCATTGGCATACATCAGTAGCATCTCCTCATTGGCATACATCAGTAGCATCTCCTGATTGGCATACATCCGTAGCATTTCCTCATTGGCATACATCAGCAGCATCTCCTCATTGGCATAAATCCGTAGCATCTCCTCATTGGCATACATCAGTAGCATCTCCTGATTGTATTGCCCGTGATAAAATTGCGCCTATGGTAAATATAAGCATATGCTTTCTGCTCATATATTTGCTTGATGTCGTGAATTGAACTGTGGATGATGCGTACACTAGCATTCGTTTCAGGTGACCATACAAAAGTAAAACCCCAACTGGTTTAGCGCAAAAACATTTGAAAAAAGCAAGTGTAGCTTTTTTTCCTGTATTTGAGGACGTTTTGAAATTCTAACATCATACAGAAGGCAGAAAGTGATGTCAAAACAAGAAAGCAACAAGATATGAAAAATATAAACGTTCAAAAATCTTCGTGAAGTCGAAAACAGCTTATACGTCATTGTTCTTGATCACACAAGTAGAGATTGCTAGAGAGCATCAATCGTTCCCCGACATATACTGTCATATGCAGAGGAAGGAAGTGTTAGCAATTGGAGGAGATGATTACTGTTAAGTGCAAATTGGTTGTTATTAATGTAGTTATCTTTGGAAAGCACAATGACAGAAAAAAATGTCTTTAATTGGTCATTACAAGAAAAGCCAAGGCATAAAAACACATAACTCTGCCTGTCAGGCAGATAATATAAAAACCGATCATATAAAATATTATTGATTATGAGTCCTATAGAGATAACAGAACAAATGTCATTATTAAACATGCTTTGGCAGCAAGTATCAATGTTTCTGGTCAAATTGTTGCCTGGGTTAAATAAAACAAACTTTTGAACTAGCTAACACAAATACACTGTATATAGATAACACAAGAAATGTCATTATTAAACATGCTTTGGCAACAAGTATCAATGTTTCTGGTCAAAATGTTGCCTGGGTTAAATAAAACAAACTTTTGAAATAGTAAACTAAACACAAATACATTGTATATAGATAACACAACAAATGTCATTATTAAACATGCTTTGGCAACAAGTATCAATGTTTCTGGTCAAAATGTTGCCCGGGTTTAATAAAACAAACTTTTGAAATAGTAAACACAAATGCATTGTAAATGCAATGAATCCACTGTAAATAAACTACAGTCCAAATGTAAAAGAATTTTCGCGGATTCATTAGGGATTCCCATTTACCCAACAGCAAGTTAAGAATATAGAGGTTGGTCAAGTCGTCTATAAATATTGAGAATTATATAACATATCGTAAAAACAAAGCTCACAGGTCACATTTCTCAAAACTTCGTTTAAGTAATCACAAACTAAAAATTGAAACTGGTAGATATACAAAAACACAAACCCCATTGGATCAAAGTGAAACATGTGATGTCTTAGAAGATGAGTTACATTATGCACTGTCAAACAAGAAAGAGAATCACAAATAATACCCAATCATGATAAAGAATTTGGTACACTCTGTTAAAAGAAACAATTCATCATATCTTTCAAACTGTTATCCAGAGAGAATTTCCAAGATCTGTTATCATATCTACAATGATAAACTTGTATAAAATTCCTCGTATGTACAACAAAACTACTGTTTTGCTCATTCTCAAATCTGTCAAAACTTTAACCCATGCAGAACCGTAAACCGCCGTATGAAACGGTATGAATCATACATTACATACAGTGAACTATTTGAAACAATACTGTGCTCAACTATGCACAGCAAGCACGATCCATCTGATTATGAAGACAACTTATTACAAAATTCTCATATCAAACCAGATGTTTCAGATGTGTTTAGACCGGTCAACTTTAGCGAAAGGAGATATATTTCCCCTAAACATTTTTAGCTCTTTTAAAAACAAAATGAACAAATTGCATGGATTAACTACATTAAGAAACATGACTAAGCGACAAAATGTGACAGGCGATTGGTTAAAACATGTCCGGATTAAGTCACTCTCACTTCATTTTAAAAAACTCCAATTTTTTAGAGAAACCAAAATGGCGCTCCAGATCAGTCAAAATTATACGAACCCTTATTGTTCCCAGTAGAGACCGAAACACGCAGGCTACAACAGAAAAAGTTACATAGAGCCATAATTTCCAGTGATGATCAAGAATATATTTATTTACACATGCATGTGAACATCGTATAAACAACATGTCGACAGCAACGTCCTCCTAATCTTCACGAAGGCTTACAACCAGTTTCAGAGTCAGACGTAATACTGTATTTTAAAGACATTGGATTTCTGTTCATTTCAGGAGAATACCTGTTTTCAACTGCCTTGCCAAAGCCTTCTGTAGATGTAAAACACCAAAGAAGAGTCCGGTGACTCGGGTGATGGGTCATCCCACTTCCTTGACCGACCAGACATGTTGTACGACGGATAATCAGTCATTCAAACGCTGCACCGAAGCCAAGGGTCCCTGCCTCGCACACAGGCGGCCCTCAGGGCTTCCCATTGTCAGGAAGACCTTGACACCAAAGGAGACTTTGTTACTGAAGAACGTCACAGAAATCAAAATGAAGTCTTTGAAATCTAAGACATGAAATATGTAGTGGTTATAACTGAAGTCAGTACCACTTGAACAAGACATTGTGCAATGAAGTGGTCCAACACGATGCTAAGGACATGTCGGAGAAACATTGCAAGTGCGATTGGACCTTTGTATATGGATTCTTAAACTTGTAAACACGTTATCTGGTGTATTGACAGCCCCTTGGCCTATTGTAACTAACATTAACGTGTTGAACAATTTGTTCAAGAGTTTATGTTGGATGGTATTGGGTGGTGTTGAGAAGGTGGAACACGTGTTCTCAGCTTATAAGCCTACTGCTTTCAACTGTTACAATACTACTTTATGTATGATATCATCTTGCTTGGAACTGTCAGGTGCTGCGATGGACGTTATTTAACAAGACAAGCATCGGTGATTGTGAATACACTTAGCTTCGATTGCACGTGGATGTTGTGCATTCCCGCATAAAAGACCATGAACTTCAGCCAGACATTTTGGATGTAATTAAGAAGGCAGAAACGTGGGAGTCAGATGTCATAGAAGACACGGAATCTTTGATCTGTGAACCTTTCATCTGCCTTTGATTTCATACAAAAGAAACAACTCAAAGTGGAAACTCTAATTTAATACACGATTTGCCTTTTTGTTATGAAACAGTGAGTTTATTACGGGTTGCAATGTGAAACTGGTTTGTTATAAAAACGCAATGTGAAGTTCTTAGAAGGAACATTTGTTTGTGTGTAGTTTTATCAGCAATGACCTAATAATAATGTTGGACACATTTTTAGAGGTGACGCCATGAAGCAAGTTTTACTGTTTCAGCTGTAAATTGCTCAAGTTGCAAAAATTGAATCACACAAAGAGTGTGTGGCCATACGATATATACTAGTATTCCAGCGTATAACTAGCGAAGCTTACACTGTGGATATTCCATCGGACCATATTGGACTAGATGACCCAAGTGTGTATTGTTGAATGTTGTTCCAGTAAATACTGGAGATGTGATAGTATTCCCGCACACTATACTTCATACTATTCTTCACGCTGGCACATTGAAAGGATATTTGTGAATCAAACTGTTTCTGTATAAATGTCTATGTTTTGATGTGGGTAACCAGTGGACGAATGCGTCACAGTTCTCTGTGGGGAGTTGTGTCCCTTTACAGGACCAGGATCAGATTGTTGTAGATTGGAGTTCAAAAGGAAGTTTTCCTTGTCAAAACCAAGAACTAACAATCAAAGACCATAGTTTATTTGGGGAACCCGATTCCAGGTCAAAATAGGTCCTCAGTACTCCCCGTCTAGCGCCATCTGATGCTGGTGGGTACTTGTTCATCCCTTGCTTGACCTAGATTATTTATGAAAAATATACACACACCTGTCCAAACATCAAAGCGACTCTTATTGACAAGCGTAAAAGTTATTATGTGAATATAATTTGTTGTGATGAAATATGATTAACTAAACACTTCGACTTAAATCATTGCAGGTCGAGCTTTTGCTTTATTTTGATAATGTGGTCACGTATGGACAGGACTTGAAGTCTAAGGAGGCAGGGTGGCATAATAATGAACGATAGGATAGCGTCCAGTTTGTGTCCGCGTGGGGCACGGGTGGCCCAGTCGTCTGGGGCGCCGCGATTCGCTGTGCAGATCTGTGTCCCTTGGGCACTCCAGAAACCTATGATTGTGGGTTCGAATCCCGGTTCGCCCCGATTATGTTTCTAGGTTTGTCAGCACCATACCCGAGCTCGTGGGTTTCACCGAATTGGTAATCGTCTAAGACATGCATCACTTCGGGCTTTCCTCCCACATTAGCTGACACGCCGTGATATAACTAAAATAATGTTAAAAGCGGCCTTAAACCCAACTCACTCACTTAGTGTCCGCTCTTCTGCAGTTCGAAACTGCACCCTCATTAAAATATTTGTTTGTCAGTTCAATAACCGGTGTTATAAGCGTCTTCATCATGAATCAGTCTCGCTTGTCACCTTGAACTTCATCCCACATGAAGCTGACACGCCGTGAACTGTTTATGCAAACTAACTGCAATGGTACGCACAGTCATTATAGACTTCCAATGTTAAATTTAGACTGCACCAGATCATACCGGTTGACACGATAGGAACTTAGAAAATGGTTTCTATGCAAAAATGAGTAGATACACTCCTCAGGGGTCTTTAACAGATGATTGTATAAGATGTCATTCCTCTCGGAGAGTTCTCATCGGCTACATGTATATAAACTGTGGGGTGTGGGGGAGGGGGGGGGGGGGGGGGGGGGGGGAGGGGGCGTATACCGAGTGTGTTTTTATGTAAATGAAAATTGAAATAACTCATCCCTGTAACGGTTTGGTAAATGTACTCTGTGATCGTAATTTGTGTAAAATCAAACAGGTCCAATGAAGACGGGGTTAAGAAATGAATTCTACCCCTACCATGTTTGAGACCCGTGAAGATTCCGGGGTAGAATAGGACTTCAGCAACCCATGCTTGCCGTAAAATGCGACTATGCTTGTCGTAAAAGGCGACTAACTGGATCGGGTGGTCAGACTCGCTGACTTGGTTGATGCATGTCATCGATCCCAATTGCGTGGATTGATGCTCATGATGTCAATCACTGGATTGTGTGGTCCAGACTCGATTATTTACAGACCGCCGTCATATAGCTGGAATATTGCTGAGTGCGGCGTTCAACAACAAACCAACCAACCAACCAACCAACTACCATGTTTGAAAACGTGTGCCGAAAAAAACCCAACTTATTGATGCTCATAGATAAGATAGTAGTTGTGTAAATGTGCCAAAATGTTATGTTTTATTTGTAAAAGTTTCAAATCCAAAATAGTTTAAAAATAAAACCACGAAGAAGTATTCTTTGAATGTTGACTAAGGGATAGTACAGGGGATTTTTCCTCCGGTATTAAAATGTCCTCAAATTGAAGGCATTTATTTCAGGTTTACATAACACAGCGGAAGGATTTTAATAATACAATGGCGACTGCTTATGTCACACATTTTGCGATTGATAATGTACCGATATGCATGGATTGGTATGTCTGTGTTTGTCAAACCGTATTGACGTTATCTGTTTTAAAGGTTTGTCATTTATTTTATTTCATCTAAGTTTACAAACTTGTAGTCATGTGCGAGGATATGTTTGGTATTGTGAAGATTATTGTTTTAAAGACGAAATACATTACGATCTCCAAACGAAAGACTCAATATTTTGTAATTATACTCATGGCTTGAACAGTGTTCAATTCAATGAAAAATAGTACAGCAATTCACGTAAACCAGGTACTCATTTCGTTCTGAGGCAATTAGAGAATCCTCATTCCGGTGTCAATCTGTGTGTGGTAAATGTTTGAATTCCTTTGGAATGTAAATTTCGAGTTTGCTCAATGCATATCAATGAAGTCAAAATTCATACCCGTGTGTCTGCCGCATGAAAGAAAAAACATTAACGATAATGAAATTGACAAACATTTTCACTGCGCGGGACTTTGCCACCGATGGGTCAGGATACGTGCACCTTTACACGAACAGCTGGCATCAATAGTATTGGTCATGAGTCATAAAACATGCCAATGATGCCGGAATTGTACAATGGACTGTGCTTTAAGATGAGATTTCTTATGTTTATGTAATTGGTTTTCTCGCTTGTATTAAAATTTAATCACTGGTGTGTCTTGTCCAGATGCGACACTCATGAATCAGTACAAATAACACCAGCTGTTTGCAAACGTTTGAGCAAGTCTGAAGGTGAAGTATGACCACCAATGTCTTTATGCTGCTGTCGCTACGCTAACTCTAAGACAAGTGTAGTCGTAACACTCTTGGATAAGAGTTGTCGTAACTCTTACTCTGAGAAAGGAGTGGTCATAACACTTTGAGATTAGAGTAGTCGTAAGACATGCTCTTGGATAGGAGCTGTCATAACTCTCTTAGGAGTAGTCGTAAAACTTGCTAGGCGTGGTCCTGACACTCTGAGATAGGAGTAGTCCTGACTCACTTAGATAGGAGTAGTTCTGACTCACTTAGATAGGAGTTGTCCTGACTCACTGAGATAGGACTAGTCCCGACTCACTGAGATAGGAGTAGTCCTGACTCACTGAGATAGGAGTAGTCCTGACTCACTGAGATAGGAGTAGTTCTGACTCACTGAGATAGGAGTAGTTCTGACTCACTGAGATAGGAGTAGTCCTGACTCACTGAGATAGGAGAAGTTCTGACTCACTGAGATAGGAGCAGTTCTGACTCACTGAGATAGGAGTAGTCCTGACTCACTGAGATAGGAGTAGTTCTGACTCTCTGAGATTGGAGTAGTTCTGACTCTCTGAGATAGGAGTAGTTCTGACTCACTGAGATAGGAGTATTCCCGACTCACTGAGATAGGAGTAGTCCTGACTCTCTGAGAAAGGAGTGGTCCTGACCCACTGAGATAGGAGTAGTCCTGACTCACTGAGATAGGAGTATTCCCGACTCACTGAGATAGGAGTAGTCCTGACTCACTGAGATAGGAGTATTCCCGACTCACTGAGATAGGAGTAGTCCTGACTCACTGAGATAGGAGTAGCCCTGACTCACTGAGATAGGAGTAGTCCTGACTCACTGAGATAGGAGTGGTCCTGATTCACTGAGATAGGAGTAGCCCTGACTCACTGAGAAAGGAGTAGTCCTGACTCACTGAGATAGGAGTAGTCCTGACTCACTGAGATAGGAGTAGTCCCGACTCACTGAGATAGGAGTATTCCCGACTCACTGAGATAGGAGTAGTCCTGACTCACTGAGATAGGAGTAGCCCTGACTCACTGAGATAGGAGTAGTCCTGACTCACTGAGATAGGAGTGGTCCTGATTCACTGAGATAGGAGTAGCCCTGACTCACTGAGATCGGAGTAGTCCTGACTCACTGAGATAGGAGTAGCCCTGACTCACTGAGATAGGAGTAGTCCTGACTCACTGAGATAGGAGTAGCCCTGACTCACTGAGATAGGAGTAGTCCTGACTCACTGAGATAGGAGTAGTTCTGACTCTCTGAGATAGGAGTAGTTCTGACACTCTGAGATAGGAGTCTTCCCGACTCACTGAGATAGGAGTAGTTCTGACTCTCTGAGATAGGAGTAGTTCTGACTCTCTAAGATAGGAGTAGTTCTGACTCACTGAGATAGGAGTAGTTCTGACTCTCTGACATAGGAGTAGCCGTAACACTAACTCCAAGATAGGAGTAGTCATAACACTTTGGGATAAGAGTAGTCGAAACATTTTGATCGTTTTCAAAGCTAAGGTCGGATAGAGTAACGACGTCTTGTAAACCTGTCTCTGTATAAGTGTTGTAGTATAATAAGTAATTCAGTGATTTGTACAGGAACATACCTAAAAGAATGCACTATTTTGTTAATATTTGTATGAAACTTTACGTGTCAATAAATTATTGTCAAAGTTTTTTATTTTTCTTATCTCGCTATTTCATCCAATCTGACGTGAATCCTCTCGTGTTTGTTCCCAATCACAAAGCTGAAGATTTATGTGACTTCTCAGTATGCGACATGGAGGAAACAACCGTGTTATACTTGCTGTCTGACACATAATAAGAGTTTTCATCTTTGTTATTCTGCTATCCAGGGACTTCAAGTGCTCTCAGAGCTTGATACTGTTCAATTCATCAATTCAAAGTTGCTTTGTTTGACAAGCATTAGTAGCTGAGGATCAATCCAAACTCGGAAGCCCCTTAAATCGGATGGTAAGGTTCGGTGACTTGGGTAATAGTGTGCCAGCATGCCCCAACGGTGTTGGTTATCATTATGTCCATTATATCAACCGCTGGTCTGTCTGGTCCAGCCTCGGTTATGTGCAGGCAGCCGTGCTATGGCTTGAACAACAACAACAACAACAACAACAACAACAGACGTTTTAGTGTCGGAGACATGCTTGCACAGGACGTCATGCAGAGTTTCGCACGAAGTAATAGATCCTTTGTCTGATGTCACCTATAATACGGAGAGGTTTGTGTTTAAACTGGTGTAAGACCTCACTCACTCACTCACTCACTCACTCACTCATTCACTGTATTGTCCAATTGTGTTAATCTCCATTGCAAGAGTACAATGGATGAACGTCAATGTTTCGTATTTGATAGGCATGAAATATGAATTAAAGCAAAAGCAGACTAATTCATATGGTGAGTAACATTCGTTTATTTGAAATCCATAGTATTACTAAAATGGGTTCAAAACCTTTAACATCACTTGTGACTGTTCTGCTATCAACGTGGATTAAAACCAAGAAAATGTTCCAATATGGAACATTTAAGCGAACCAGCTGGGTCTGATTTCATATATGTGCTGCCTGCCTTAAGGAGAAGAAACTTCTGTTGCCTAGTCTTGAACGATGTCCACGTAAGAAGTGATGAGTCTTCGCTCCAAGGACGCCCGTCTCTGGCAAAGTTGTTCCAGTACTGAATGACGTCATCAGAGAGACTCATCTGTTCGTGAGGCAGAGTGCGATTCAGCAGACCGAAAGTACCGAACACCGTCGGCAGTTCGACTCCGTGACAGACATAATCATTACAGATGTTGCCGTCACCCCATATGTTGTACGGGAACTTCTGGTCGAAGACGTAGCTGTAAACCACTGCATCCCTTGACATACGTTTTGCAACGGATTGACCAACACATCTGAACAAGTAGTCAGTGCCGATTTCAGCTAGGACGTAACGTTTGTCATCATCTCCGTCTACATCATAGACTAGGCTTAGAAGCTCCGGCGACAGGATAGGACTGATCTTGTGAAGAAGATCTCGAAGCTCATGTGTGGATAGAGGAGATGGGCTCATACTGTATACATACCCCATAGCTTCATCTTGGACAGTTCCGATGATGGTGTCCATCTTCTTATGAAGACCTCGTGAGAAGATATTGTACAGGTGGTCCATCACCAGACCTTTATCAATGACAGGCCCCCAGAATTCGAAGGGCATTAGGAAGGGAGCATCGGGAAGTTCCACCTCGTGCTGTAGTTTAAGGATGTCATCAGCATCAGCCTCCCTATAGCAGGTGAGGTTACCCACAGTACACCCCATAAAGGTGGCGAGTTGAGCTTCTTGGCTTTCCCCTTGAGCTGCGGTTCTGAAGGGCAGGGTGAAGGGACAACTCTGGAGGATGGCGCGATTAAAGTACTGACTGGCGGAGGGGACGCTCATCAGAAGAGCAGTAGACTGGGCCCCAGCACTCTGGCCGTAGAGGGTCATCTGTAGAGACATTTTGTGCATTTAAAATTACTTTCACATTTTCAAAAAATCGTACAACATCCAAGGTTTGTCAACATCATCGATTAACATATGACATCCACATTTTGGCTACACAGTCAGAGACAATTGCATTGGGATACAGTTTTCATTTGTTGTCCGAGACTGAGATTTTACAACTTCAACTATAAAACAAAACACACTAAGTTAGCCAACGACAAACCGTGTTCAAGAAATTCCCATCGACACGATTAATTTACCTTTAAGAAATTCATAAATGTTTTTTACATAATAAATATATTTGCATAATAGAAATACACGAGAAAGATACGAGGGCATGGATGGCCCAACCTCGCTGTTTAAATGGCCCCCCTCAGCCAACAGGATTCGGTGGTCCTATCATCATCCTATCATCAGCTGCATTCTTGTGGGATAAATATCTTCAACCAGCGCGACTGCCTCCGTGGTCAAGCGGACTGAGCGTCTGCATGAAGAGCGGAAGGTAGGCGGTTCGATTCTCTGACCGTATCATATCAAAAGACGTTAAAAGATGGTATTTCACCCTTCCTGGCGCTCGGCCTTATGGGGGATAAAACAAGGACTGATCACTCATTAGGTGATACCCTATTCTAGCAGTCTATGATTGGGTGATACCCTATTCTAGCAGTCAATCATTGGGTGATACACTATTATAACAGTCAATCATTGGGTTATACACTATTATAACAGTCAATCATTGGGCTATACACTACTCGAGCAGTCAATTTTTGGACGATACACTACTCTAGCAGTCAATCAATGGGGGATACACTATTATAACAGTCAATCATTGATACACTATTATAACAGTCAATCATTGGGTTATACACTACTCAGGCAGTCAATCATTGAGTGATACCCTATTCTAGCAGTCAATCATTGGGTGATACACTTTTATAACAGTCAGTCATTGGGTTATGCACTGCTCTAGCAGTCAATCATTGGGGGATACACTACTCTAGCAGTCAATCATTGGGTGATACCCTATTCTAGCAGTCAATCATTGGGTTATACACTTATATAACAGTCAGTCATTGGGTTATACACTACTCTAGCAGTCAATCATTGGGTGATACCCTAGTCTAGCAGTAAATCATTGGTTAGAATAACGACTTAATTAGAAGCGTTTCTACCGACAGTCCGAAGAAACATCAGGGCGAGCATAGATCTTTATCACTAACATACATTCCTACTGAGTGATTTACCTCCGTTCTGTCTCCCCCAAAGTACTGAATGTTCGCATGGATCCATTGAAGAGCCTTGATCTGGTCTTTCAGTCCTAGATTTCTTGAGCCAAGAAAACCGAAGGCAGCTGCAACCATTTAAACTTTGTTTTCACAAAAGAAAAGGCGGCGTTAAATGAATAATTACATTCAGATGACGACTGGTCACCTTCGCACACAGTTATGCATTCATCTAACAATCAGAAATGTTTAATGCATATGACGGCGGTCTGTAAATGGTCGAGTCTTGACCAGACATTTCAGTGATTGACGTCAGTTTTAATTGATCAAACCTTTCGTGCAAATGGAAATTCACTTCTAATTGAACCAATCATTTCAGATGTGCATCCCGTGCATCTCCGATTCGCCTTGGTAATGATTCTTTGTTTGTAAGCAGCATATCTGTGACTCATCTGACACAGCACTGTGTACTGCCACCGTGTGCGTCCATCAACCCGTAGGGATGCCGGGTTAGAATTGCTCCCCAGGAACCAATGCTGGTCGTAACAAGGCGACCAAATAGATTTGGTGGCCAGGGTTTCATGTTACCTGTTTACCCACACGGCGTGGAATGTAGCTTACAATATCCTCAATCACAGGATTGTTTGGTCAAGACCCGATTATTTACATGACACCTTCAAATAGCTGGAATATTGCGGCGTTTAACAACAATATATATTATTCAAACATGGTATTCGTTTGTAACTGCTTATGTCACAAAGTTTTACAACTTATTGATAAATTGAGTGTGTTTGATCTTACTGAACTAGTATTTGCGACGTTAAACAAAAACTAACGTGCTTCCGATCTGTGCGGGTGGGAATAGTGCATCTTATAATGTTAACGCTACTCACCCAATCTGTAATTGATAGTTACAAGAATACATCCGCCCTTCTGGACAAAGGCCTCGCCGTCAAATAGCGGAGACCCCCCACTGTACGATGTGTAGTCGCCTCCATGCACAAACACCATCACACACCTGCCGGTTGGATGGCCCGTCGGCGTAAAGATGTTCAGAAACAAACAGTCCTCCGAGACCTTAAGGAGACATTGATTCAGTGTGTGTAGAGATTCATATATTTGAAGAATATTTTAGAAACCTATGATATAAAATGTTGAAAAATAATCATGGTGCCATTATGTTTGAAAAACTATGGAACTATCAGAGATGCAAATATTCAAAAGACAATTACGGCATAATATATTTGGAACCACTTAAAAAGAATACGTTGAGTTGAATGACTTGATTGTATTCAATAAATCTGTAGCGTTGACGACAGTAGGCAAGTAGTTAATGTATTCGCCCGTCTCGCTTAATACAGTTTTAAAACTGATATACGTCAAATAAGTTGAGTAAGAACAAACATAAAGTTGGTTTGAGAGCCATTGAGTGAGTGAGTATGGTTTTACGCCACTTTTAACAATATTCCAGCAATATCACGGTTGGGGACACCAGACATTGTACCCATATTGGGAATTGAACCCGGGACTTCGGCGTGACGAGCGAACGCTTTAACCACTAGGCTACCCCACCGCCTGGTTTATAATGACTTAATTCTAAATGACTATGACAACCAATTGTGTTGAACCTCTCCCCATTCAATACTGCGTTTTTGGTTCCGTTCGGAGATATCGTAACAAAGGACACCCTCAAGAACAAAATGGCTACCGTCAAAGTCATGTTCGAGTAGATCATGGTATCATCGTGATAACCGTACAAAATCAACATCCCTCGATGACCAGCTAGTTCTCACAGAAAATGTGAATCAGGCGGTGTGAAGACGGGCTGGGATGTCTCAGGGCTTGTCTGCGTCTACATGGAGGCGTGCAATGTGTGTCACGTGATTAGGAAGAGGCTGAATCGCGAGAGATCTCGCAGGCCGGTTTATGGACTAACGGACTTATATACGTATCTTGGGAATACAAAAAATATTCGTTCTTCAAATACAGGAAAGTGCATATACCTCATCCTGACAAAGCAGGAGTGGAACATCAGGACAGTTCTGGTAGCACATGGGACCACGTGATGTTGCAAGATATGGGTTCGGCCATGGGGTCACAGGCTGCGGTTCTTCAAACCTATAAGAACAGTATTGCAATAGAAATGGTGAAACTCTTGCTCGAGACTGTTTGATCAGGATCACAACATTCAAGGCCTGGTAAAGCTTTCAAAAGGTTTTATGGTAGACGGGTGGAGGACATTTCCAAATTCCACGAGTCAGTGACAAAAACGATGTCTGACATTGTGTAATTCCCTATGTTGATTTGTACCATATGTCCCCGTGTAATTTCATGCCTTTGCGTGTGTTTGTGATGGGCACCACCCGTGGGGCAGGAACTGGTCACTTTTTGCGAACACATGGTATCACCATGCACTATTTGATAGTGAATCGTAAACGCATGATTATGATATGGTCGGAATCTAGCTTACAAGGAACCACAAAAAAATTATGATTATGCAAAGCATTTTGTGGTTTCGTCTATAATTTACACGACAGGATCGGCCATAAGTGACACGTTTCAGGGACTGTAAAAGATAAGGCTTCTCGAGGAATCGCGGAGTAGATATCGTCAATACGGTTCTGCATCCAAAAGACCAACTCTAAGGAAAATATGTATAAAGTGCAAAACAAGGTTCACCGAATCCTTTGAGCATGTGTTCGAATCCAAGATTTTCCCTGATTATGGCTATCATTCTTTTTTTTCTTCTTCTTTTTTTAAATGAATTTTATTCCATTCCCATGTGCATGTTAACAAATATATAATTATGAGTATAGATCTGTCAACACTTTGCTAGTGTTCGTGACTCATATTGAAAAACGTCTCTGACCTTCCACATTAAGCTGACAAGCCATGATACAACTGAAATGTGGAAAATGGCACCAAACCCAACTCACTAACTAACCTATAATCCTGCGAAACAATCCTTTGCAGTATACATTCAAGGTTTTCAAAAGACTCAGGAACCCTGCGCATCTGTGGCAATCCTAAATATATTCATATTTGACGCTACATATGCTTATCAGCCAGCGCTTGTTTCTTCAAAATCGCCAAGAGGATGTAGCATATATGTTTTTTGTAATAATGTGTTTCAATTAGTCAATTATTCAATTATGAATGGTCATAATATTGACAATAACCTGCATTTCTAATCATTTCAAGGACAAGGCTGAAATATAAACATTTTTGATTGAAGTTATTTTAATCTTTATCTCGTAAACTAAATGTTAAACTCATAACTCATAACTCTCTAAACAATATTTGCTGAGTCATGATGACTCCTAATTTTATTAGGTTAAATTTTAAAAAAGAACAGCCACAGGCACATGTTCTGGTGGACATTAGCCATTACTGTGAAATACGTTTATAACGAACACGCTTATCACGAACTGACGGATATTACAAACTTAAGTTTGGTCCCGGACATTTGCTGTATAGATGTTGTACATTTTCTTATAACGAACTACGGTTATAACGAACTAAAATTAGTTGTCCATTTGAGTTCGTTATAACCGTAGT